ACATTTTGTCCCCAGTTGGTGGCACTGTTTTAGGAGGTCTTAAAAGGTGTAGCTGTGCTGGAGGAACTGGGAGTGGGCTTAGAGAGTTCTTAAGCCTTGCCGGATCTCCAGTAGCTCTCTTGCTTCCTGTGCCAGCTTGAAGATGTGAGAGCTTAACTTCCACTCCTCCTCCAGCTGCCTCTGCCACCATGCCTCCCCACCATGATGGACTCTTGCCCCTTGGAATCATAAGCTCAAATAAACTCTAACTTTTATAAGTTGCTTTGACCAGTGGTTCTATCATAGCAACAGAAAGGTAACTAATACACAGCTCTATTGCTCCAAGTCCTGTGTCTGAAGTATGTCCTGTCTTCAGCAATAGAATCTTACCATCAAGTTCTGGGAGGCAATCAAGGGATGTGACAATAGCCTGTGTAATTTTGGGGAGGTCTCTTGGACTGCTCTGGCCAGTAACTCAAAGGAAGATTTCTCCTGTCTGGCACTGTTTCTTGTTATCTAGCCTTCAGCTATACACATGGACTCATGTAGAGATATTGTATGAGTAATTTTTCAGTAGATTTTTGAACTAATATGATTCTCTCTGGTTTTTTAATACTAGCTAGGCATTATTCATCTCTCTCCTTGTCTACCTTCTTCCACATTGCTTATTTTTTATATGATTATCTCCAGGTCCACCCATTTTCCTGAAAATGACATAACTTCATTGTTTTATACAGATGTATGAAATTCCTTTGTGTGTGTGACATTTGCTTTATTCATAACTTTGTTCATCTCTGTGGTACACTGGCTTAGAAGCTCCCTCCATGTATGTACCAGTGATGTGTAGCTGGGTCATATATGGTATTTCTATTTTTACTTTTTTGAGGAATCTCCATTCTGACTTCCATAGTGGCTTGTACCAAGTTTACATTCCTACCAACGGTGTGTAAGATTTCCTATTTCCCCACATCCTTGCCAGCATTTGTTGTCATTTGTTTTGTTGATGATAGCAGTTTGGATTAAGCTGAGATGGAATTTCTCTGTAGTTTTAATATGCTTTTCACTGATGTCTAAGGACGTTGAACTTTTTTTCCTAATGTTTATTAGCCATTTGTATTTCTTTCTTTGAGATGAGATCTGGTCTGTCAGTTCATTAGAGATGAACTTTTTCAAAGATTTTTTTCTGCATCTATTGAGATAATTTAATTTCATGTAATTGCAGGCTTAGGCCTATTTATGTGTATAGTAAATTTATTGATTTGCTATGTTGAACTATCCTTGAATTCCTAGGACAAAACCAACTCAGTCATGAAGTGTAAATGTTCTTAATGTATTCTTGAAGTTTGTTTGCAAGAATTTTATTGAGAATTTTTAGAATTAATTTTTAAAACTAGTGTTCAAAGTAAGGAGTTTTGCTATAGTATTTTCATTCATACTTGGTTCCTTTTTGAGTCCCTCCTCCACACCCCTTCCTTGCACCCTTCCTTGCTGGTCTCCTTTCTTTCAATATATCCCCCTTTGTGTCACGTGTATTCCATTGCCTCCCACTCCTCAAAAGATACCTTCTTAACTCTCATCGCCTTTTTCTAGCTTCATCGCTCACGTACACATCTTATGTTCCTCATATGGAAAAAAAACACGAGGTGTTTTTCTTTCTTGGGGTGGCTTATTCCATTAGCCTGTTGATTTCCAGTTTCATCCATTTTTCTGCAAATGTCATTATTTCACTTTGTGACTGAAATTCCGTGGTATGTGGACTGCATTATTTTTTGTTTGTTTATGAGACAGGGTCCTACTGTGTAACCCTATCTGACACTAAACTCCCTGTGTAGACCAGGCTAGCCTCAAACTCAAAGAGATCTGCCTGCCTCTGCTGGGCATAAAGGGGTGTGCCACCATGCCTAGCCCCTGCATTGTTTTTATTTGATTATCTGTTAATATAGATATAAGCTGCTTCCATTTCTTAGTTGTTGTGGGTAGTATAGCAGTAAACACGAATTTGCTAAAATATCAGTGCTAGGACACTGAGAACATGTTGTATAATTAACTTAAAGGCTTATATTTGGTCTAGGATTTTAGCTACATAATATATTCATGATTAGTAGAATTTTGCTTTGAATGTGACCTCTCTATTGCCTGAGAATTCTGACAGTCTATGATGTTTGCCTATAAAATTGAAATTGTTAAACTTTAATACAGTAAGCATACTGGTACATTCATTATAGACTTCTTGGGCAAGGGCTACAATAGTATCACACAGTTTTCTTTTTTCAGAATTTAGACTAGAGCTGCTTGTGAGTTAATTAAGAAGCAGAATGACATAGAGCTGACTTGCATTTCAGTGTTGCTTATAGTTACTTGGAATTGATTGCTTGAAACTGACCACAAGTGTTCTCAGTTCAGAATTAATAGGCATCCTTTCCCATATCTCTTTTAGTCTCCCCGAGTGAAAGAATCATTATCACATTCTGAGGTAAGTAAACAAGATTATTAACCCTTGATAAATAGACATGTTTTATTTTGGTTTTAATTTTAGGCTTTTCAGGGAGGGGGTCGTAAATATTAATGACGTATTCATTATACCAATTAAATTTTAAAAGTTGGCTTAAGGGTCCAGAATGTTCTTCCTTGCTTTCTTGACTCTGTGGGCTTTGGCTGCTTGAAGTGCAAAGTAATTGTTTAGCCTTAATCTGCCCTGGAATTTGTCATACTACTGTCCTTCTTTTGATTTTTTTTTAAAGCCTTTTCTTTAGTCACATGAAGTAAGTGGCTTTCCTTGTTCTTTACCACCTGAGAAAAGTAATTTCATGGATCTCTTCCCGTGTATATTTTTCCTTCTGGTAGCATTTTCAATTTTGAGCAAGGATGTGGTTTATAAGTATACATCTTGCTCCTGATTTGTGTACATAATGTGCAACTTATGTACCCTATTAGGTACATAATTTGTGTTCACAGACTGTATTGCTTAAGACTGAAAATAAATTTTGATCGATTTTATTTTTATGTATATTACTGTTTTGCCTGAATGTAGGTAAGTGCACCACATATAAGCATTCTGGAGCATTCGTGTAACTGGAGTTATAGATGGTTGTTAACTGGTTGTGGGTGCTAGGAACCGAGCCCCAGTCCTCTGGAAGGACAACCAAACAATACTCTTTAACTGCACAGCCATCACTCCAGCTCCAAGACTGAAAATAAATTTTGTATCTCAACTATTAATAAGTTAGTCTCTGACAGCTTATATATATTAGAACTGCTGTTCATTAATCTTTCTGACTCTTCTTGTTCAGTAGTAGAGTTGCACTCCCTTGACCCTTGGAATTATGCACGGCCCTGTCAGTTCTTTTGGCTAGTGAAATGGTGCTGCTGGGCCTAGGTTACGGCTTAGTTGTTAGAGTGCCAGCCAAGCACACATAAAGCCTTGGGTTCTATCCCCAGCACTGCATAAAATTGGGTGAGAACATATATCCCTGTAATCCCAGCAAATGGGAGGTAGAACCAGGATTAAAAATTCAAGATCATTCTTGGCTACATAGTGAGTTCAAAGTCATCCTGGAAACACGAGACCCTGTACTCCATCCCCATTGTCTCAACAATAAAAAAGCTAGCAGAAGGAACAGTCACTGATTTCCTAGTTTCCTTAACCCTGTCACCTTGTCCTGTATCCCCGAGTGAGGGTGACACCAAGCTCTTGCTGGTCAGTTATATTTCAAATATGTGTGAGAAGTAACCCTTACCATTTTAATCTACTGAAATTTTAGGAGTGTTGCTTCTAATTTAACTTGCTTTACTAATTTCTCAGTATGGAAATGCTATTAATTTGATTATGCAGAGAAGTGGTAATAAGCCACTACATAATACAAAAACTACTTTGAAAGTGTTGCCCCTTAATCTCTACTTGGTCAAATGAGAAAGTATTTCCTGATTATCCTGAGTTTCTCTTTTTAGTCATTTCTCTTTTTTGGTCTTTTTTGAGAGAGGGTCTTTATATAGCCCCAGCTGGCCTGGAACTCACTATGTAGACCAGGCTGGCCTTGAACTCTGCCTCTCAAGCGCTGAGATTAAAAGGGTGTGCCACCACACCCGGAGTCTATTGTAATAATTTTCACTTTGGCAACATACATTGTTCGTGCTGCAGTGCAACCACCGTCACCTCTCTCAAGAACTTTGTAATCTTTCCATACTAAAACTTGTCGTCTAATCTTTTCTCACCTCTTCTCCCAGCAACCACTTTTCTATTTTCTGTCTTTAGATTTCATTATTCTACAGACTTCATATTTGTGGAGTCATAGTACTTGTCGTTTTCTCACTGGCTTAGTTTCCTCAGCATAGTGTCCTGAATTCCTGAAGGTTTGTTCATGTTGTAGCATATGTCATAATGTCCTTCCATTTTTTTAAAAGAATGAAGATATAATACTTATTGCATATGTATATATGCCACTTTTTTTTTTTTTGAGACAGGGTCTCCCTGTAGTCCCAGCTGTCCTGGAACTCACTCTGTGGACCAGGCTGGCCTTGAACTCAGAGATCTGCCTGCCCGTGCCTCCCAAGTGCTGGGATTAAAGGCGTGCACCACCATGCCTGGCCACATTTTCTTTTTTAATTTATTGTTTTTATTTTATGTGTATGAATATATTGCCTACATGTATGTAAGTACACCCATGTCATCCATTGCCCATGAAGTTCAGAAGAGGGCATCAGGTCCCTTGGAAGTGGAGTTATAGACATTTGTTAGCTGCCATGTGGGTGCTGGTAATTGAACTTGGGTCTTCTGCAAGAGCAGCCAGTGCTCTCAAACACTGACCCCACTCTCCAGCCCCCACGCCACATTTTCTTTATTTATCTGCCAAAGAACAATTGAATTGCTTCTGTCTTTGCTGTTATGGATAATGCTGCCATGATCATGAATGTATACTACCTGCTTTCACTTTCTTCTGAGTATAAACCTAGAAGTAGTATTGCTGGATCATGGTAATTTTGTGTTTAGGTATTTAGTTTGTTTTGAGATGTAACTTTTTTGTCGCCCAGGCTGGCCTCAAATTCCCAGGTGCTAGGACTGTAAGTATATGCCTCTATACTCTGCTGTTTAGTTTTTTTTTTTTTTTTAAAG